AGTTGAGATCCAAAACACCCGGAGGGAGGGCCAAAGTTGGCCCATGCGCACTTTGAAGCCAAGCACTGGTTTCCTTATTGCTTCCAGCTTTGTGTGGGGAAGAACTTCCTGACTGTGAGAGCCGTTCAGCAGTGGAACTCTCTGCCCCAGAGTGTGGTGGAGGCTCCTTCTTTGGAAGCTTTTAAACAGAGGCTGGATGGCTATCTGTCAGGGGTGCTTTGAATGCAGTATTCCTGCTTCTTGGCAGAATGGGGTTGGACTGGATGATGGCCCACCAGGTCTCTTCCAACTCTTTGATTCTAGGATTGTATGACTTTCAGCAACTGATGCCAGTCAAGATACGAACATCAACAAAATGTTTATTTCCAAAGTCCTTGGCCGACTTGGCGAAGCTTGATAAAGTTACAACACAAACAGTCAATTTGGGAAACCATAGAGATGTTCTTTCTTTCCCTTTTCCTTCAGTTACTGAGGTAACTTTTCTCCAAAAGGTAGAAAAATCCTGCGATCTTTCACCCTAACCCTGAGCTGCTATGGTTAGAAAAAACTTCCTATAACTTCCTGTCTGTGAGAGCCGTTCAGCAGTGGAACTCTCTGCCCCGGAGGGAGTGTGGTGGAGGCTCCTTCTTTGGAAGCTTTGAGACAGAGGCTGGATGGCCATCTGTCAGGGGTGCTTTGAATGCAGTATTCCTGCTTCTTGGCAGAATGGGGTTGGACTGGATGATGGCCCAGGAGGTCTCTTCCAACTCTTGGATTCTAGGATTCTATGAGTGTACCGGTTCTTAGGAATTGTGGGAGTTGAGATCCAAAACACCCGGAGGGAGGGCCAAAGTTGGCCCATGCGCACTTTGAAGCCAAGCACTGGTTTCCTTCCTGCTTCTAGCTTTGTGTGGGGAAGAACTTCCTGACTGTGAGAGCTGTTCAGCAGTGGAACTCCCTGCCCCGGAGTGTCAGGGGTGCTTTGAATGCAATATTCCTGCTTCTTGGTAGAATGGGGTTGGACTGGATGATGGCCCAGGAGATGTCTCCCAACTCTTGGATTCTATGACTTTTGGAAGTTCAAAATCCAAACTATTACCTTATTGCAGCTTCCCCAACTCCATAACTTTTAGTCATGTTGTTGTTATTACTATGTTAGGAACTGTGGGAGTTGCAGTCCAAATTGCCTGAAGGGAAGGCCGAAGTTGGCCCAGGCCTGGTGTAAAACCTAGCGAAATTATCTGCCTTGGTTGATCCAAGTCCACCAAGCTCTGGCCTTCTTTGCAGGGGGAAATGATGCCCCACGGAGGAAATATCGATATCTCCAGGTTCTGGCCAAGATTTTCAAGCCTTTAACACCCCCCTTTTCCCCCCTTTTGCTTTTCTCTGCTTTTTCCAAGGCCTCAAGGCAATGGTTTGGCCCGAAAGGCAGCAGCTCAGAGACCATCTGGTTCCACTTAGCAGCTTTTACAGGGAAGGCTTTGGTGGGCGGGGGTCTCCTTCTGCTGGGGAGGGGGCTGCATTCCAAGGGAGAGGCATGGCCCTCCAGGAAGGCCTCCTCCGTGCAAGACATGCCTCCTCCCTGCCCCTTTCCAGGCAGGTCTGCCAAGAAGGACCCCCCCCCCCCCAAATATCTTTCCAGCACAAGGAGGACTACAGCGGGATGTGTTTATAATATCCGATACGCAGGATGTATTTTCATTCCCAGGTCCAAATTTGACACAATACCCGATATGCCCAAATTTGAATACTGGGGGGTAGGTGGGTGGATGGGTGGGTTATTTTGTCATTTGGGAGTTGTAGTTGCTGGGATTTATAGTTCACCTAAAACTCTGCAAACAATAGAGTTGAACCAAACTTGGCACACAGAGCTCCCATGACCAAAAGAAAACACTGGAAGGGTTTGGTGGCCTTTGACCTTGAGTTTTGGAGTTGTAGTTCACCTACATCCAAAGAACACTGTGGACCCAAACAATGATGGATCTGGATCAAAATTGGCATGAATGCTCAATAATGTAAACACTAGTGGAGTTTGGGGAAAAGAGACTTGACATTTGGGAGTTGTAATTCCTGGGATTTGGACCAAACTTGGCATGAATATTCAATATGCCCAAATGTGAATACTGGTGGAGTTTGAGGAAAATAGTCTTTGACATTTGGAAGTTGTCGCTGCTGGGATTTATAGTTCACCTCCAATCTAAGAGCATTCTGAACTCCACCAATGATAAAATTGGGCCGAACATCCCACACAGAATCCCCATGATCCACAAAAAATACTGTGTTTCCTGATGGTCTTTGGCGACCCCTCTGACACCCCCTCACGACCCCCCCCCCCAGGGTCCTGACCCCCAGGCTGAGAAACACTGCCCTATAGCTATACATTGTGGCAAACCAGGATGCAAATAAACAGCATTCAGATAAATACAATTTATTCTAACACCCAGCTTGCAAACGACTCCTAATTAAGAATGAGGGTCAGACAACAGGAAGTGAAAAGAATGTCCTTCGGAAGGAAGGGAAATCCACTCCTGGAAGAATTTTTGTTTCAAGGGGTCTTGACGCCAAACTTGGTCTCCAACGAAGCTTGATTTCCAATCCTTGTTTACACAACAAGACACAGTTTTGCAAATTCTCACACAGACAGAAAATTAGGTGACATTTTCCAAACGGGCACAGACAGCAAAGAAAACACCACAAGGGTGAGCACCCTTCTCTATGCTATCCAAAGCCTATATACACACACATATATTTATTTATCGTGTTACCAGCAACCAGACATTTGTATTACATTTTTAACAAAAACAAACAAACAAACAACCAAAACACAAAGTTTGCAAGCTTGGTAGCTGATTAGATGTCCTTTGACCAGTCTCTGTCCCCTTGGAGTGCCTCTGGTGTTGCTGCAAGGAGGTCCTCCCTTGTGCATGTGGCGGGGCTCAGGGTGCATGGCAGCAGGTGGTCAGTGGTTGCTCTTCCTCCACACTCGCATGTCATGGATTCCACTTTGTAGCCCCATTTCTTAAGTTTGGCTCTGCATCTCATGGTGCCAGAGCGCAGTCTGTTCAGCGCCTTCCAAGTCGCCCAGTTTTCTGTGTGCCCAGGAGGGAGTCTCTCATTTGGTATCAGCCATTGATTCAGGTTCTGGGTTTGAGCCTGCCACTTTTGGACTCTCGCTTGCTGAGGTGTTCCAGCGAGTGTCTCTGTAGATCTTAGAAAACTATTTCTTGATTTAAGTCGTTGGTGCTGGCTGATACCCAAACAAGGGATGAGCTGGAGATGTCTCTACCTTGGTCCTTTCACTATTGGCTGCTACTTCCCGGCGGATGTCAGGTGGTGCAGTACCGGCTAAGCCAGGGGTAGGGAACCTTCGGCCCTCCAGGTGTGGTGGACTTCAACTCCCACAATTCCTTGAGGCTCGTGTAAGCCTTTGGGGCGAATGCCGAGCCTCAAGGAATTGTGGGAGTTGAAGTCCACCACACCTGGAGGGCCGAAGGTTCCCTACCCCTGGGCTAAGCAGTGTAATTTCTCCAGTGGTGTAGGGCACCCCGTGATAATGCGGCATGTCTCATTAAGAGCCACATTCACTGTTTTAGCGTGGTGAGATGTGTTCCACACTGGGCATGTGTGCTCAGCAGCAGAGTAGCACAGCACACGGGCAGATGTCTTGACTGTGTCTGGTTGTGATCCCCAGGTTGTGCCAGTCAGCTTTCGTATGATATTGTTTCTAGCACCCACTTTGTGCTTGATGTTCAGGCAGTGCTTCTTGTAGGTCAGAGCACGGTCCAGAGTGACTCCCAGGTATTTGGGTGCGCTGCAATGCTCCAGTGGGATTCCTTCCCAGGTGATCCTCAGAGCTCGGGATGCTTCTCTGTTCTTGAGATGAAAAGCACATGTCTGCGTTTTAGATGGATTAGGGATCAGCTGGTTTTCCCTGTAGTAGGCAGTGAGAGCACCTAGGGCTTCAGAGAGCTTCTGTTCAACCATCTCAAAGCTCCCTGCTTGAGTGGTGATGGCATGATCATCAGCATAGATGAAGCTCTCTGTCCCTTCTGGCAGTGGCTGGTCATTTGTGTAGATGTTGAACATGGATGGAGCAAGCACGCTCCCCTGAGGCAGGCCGTTCTTCTGTTTCCGCCATCTGCTTCTCTGGCCCTGGAACTCAACAAAAAGCTCCTGTTTTGTAGCAGGTTTCCTATGAGGCGGGTGAGGTGGTCGTCCTTTGTGAGATTATACATTTTTCTCAGGAGGAGCGGTGGTTCACAGTCTCATAGGCTGCGGACAGGTCTATGAAGACAGCTCCTGTGATCTGCTGCCTTTCAAAGCCATCTTCTATGTGCTGAGTCAGGTTCAGCACTTGCGATGTGCAGCTTCTGCCTTTCCTGAAGCCAGCTTGCTTTGGGATCAGACAGGGGTCTATTTTCATGCAAAATAAGTCTCTCCAGGACTTTGTAGAGGTGGCACAACAGGGAGATGGGTCTGTAGCTTTTTGGGTCATGACGGTCCTTGCCTGGCTTCAAGATGGCGATGACTCTTGCTTTCCTCCAGATTTTGGGGATCTGACAGGATGCAGTGCAGTTGTTCATCAGCTCCAGCAGCCAGAGCCTTGCTTTTGGGCCAAAGTTCTTGATTTGTGGAACAAAGCACCCCTGACAGATGGCCATCCAGCACATAGAGTATTAATAATGATGTGTTGTGGTATGGTGAGGATTCTTCTCTAACAAGCTGCCCATTCTAGCCTGTTTGTGTGTATATGTGTGTGTGTATGTGTGTGCTGGGCCTGCTTTGATAGACAGCTCCCTCCTTCCCTGCCTTCCTTCCTTCCTGTCTGGGGAGGCGGGACTTCTCTCTTCTCTCTCTCTCTGGGCGGAGGGATCTGCCTGGCTTGGCTGGGTCCTCTTTCCTCTTCTCGCGGCGGAAGGAGACCAAGGCTGAGCAGAAGCCTCCTTGGAGGAAGAAGATGTCTCCCTGAAGGAAGGAAGCAGGGAGGGAGGGAGGCCCTCCGGAAGGAAGAGGGAAGAGGAAGGGAAGGAGGAAGGAAGGGAGAGAGAAGGGAGAGAGCAGCCCTTTCCTTGGCCTGCCTCTGCCTCCCACGCAGCCAGCCTCGGTAAGGAAGGAGAGAAGGAGGGAAGGAAGGGAAGAAAGAAAGAGAGAAGGAGGGAGGAGAAGGAAGGAAAGGAAAGAGAGGAGGCAGGAAGGGAGGGAGGGAGAGAGAGGGCGACTGGAAGGAAAGAAAGAAAGAGAGAGGGAAGGAGGGAAGGAGGGAAGGAAGGGAAGGAGAAGAAGGAAGGAAATGGAGGGAGGGAGGAAAGAGAAAGAAGGAAGGAGAAAAGGGAGGAGGGAGGAAAGGGAGAAAAGAAAGAGAAGGGAGGGAGGGAGGAGAAGGGAGAAAAGAAGAAAGAGAGAAGGAAGGGAGGGAAGGAGAGAGGGAGGAAGGAAAGAAAGAAAGAGAGGAGAAGGAGGGAAGGAGGGAGGAGAAGGAAGAAAAGGAAAAAGAGAAGGAAAAGAGGGAGGAGAAGGGAGAAAAGGAAAGAGAGAAGGGAGGGAGGGAGGAGAAGGGAGAAAAGGAAGGAAAGAGAGAAGGAAGGGAGGGAGAGAGAGGGCGACTGGAAGGAAAGAAAGAAAGAAAGAAAAGAAGGGAAGGAGGGAGGAGAAGGAAGAAAAGGAAAAAGAGAAAAAGGAGGAAGGAGAGGAAGGGGGAGGGGGGGGGGCACCTCCTCGTCCTCCCCCCCTTCCTCCTCCCCCCTTCTTCCTCCCCCTCTTTTCCCTCCCTCTTCCCCCCCCCCTTCTCTCTCTCCGTCTCTCTTTCCCCCTCTCTCTTCCTGGGGAGGGGGCTTTTCCTCTGCTCCTCTGCCCCCCTCCTCTCAGGGAAAAAGTAACTTGGCGCAGGTCAGAAGTGGGAGGGGGGGTCTCCTCTCTTTTCTTTCTCCCCCCCCTCTCCTTTCCTTCTCCTCCTCTCTTCCCTTTCTTCTCTCTCCTTCCTTCCTTTTTTCTCCTTCTTCCTTTTCTTCTTCCTCCTCCTTTCTTTCTTTCTTTCTTCTTCTCTGCTTCTCTCTCATTCTTTCTTTCTTTTCTTCCTCTCTTTCCTTCTGTCCTTCCTTCTTTTCTCCTCTCTCTTCTTCCTTTCCTCTCTTTCCTTTCTTTCCTTCCTCTTTCCTTCTCTCTATCCTTTCTTCCTTTCCTCCTCTCTCACTTTCCTTCCTTCTTTCGCTTTCCTTCTTTCTTCCTCTCTTTCCTTCCTTCTTTCCTTCTCTATTCTTCCTTCCTTTCCTCTCTTTCCTTCCTCTTTCCTTCTCTCTATCCTTTCTTCCTTTCCTCCTCTCTCACTTCTCTTCCTTCCTTCTTTCTCTTTCCTTCTTTCTTTCCTTCTCTCTCTTCTTCCATCCTTTCCTCTCTTTCCTTTCTTCCTCTTTCCTTGCTCTTTTTTCTCTCTCTCCTTTTTTCCTTTCCTCCTCTCTCATTTCCCTTCTTTCCTTCCTCTTTTTCTTTATTTCTTTTCTTTCTCTTTCCTTCTTCTTCTCTTTCCTTCTTTCTCTTTCCTTCCTGCTTTCTCTCTCTTCCCTCCCTCCCTTCCCTCCCTCCCTTTCTTCCCTTCTCTGTCTTCTTCCTTCCTCACTCTCCTTCCCTTCCTTCTTTTATTCCTCTCTTCCCTTTCTTCTTTCCTTCTCTCTCTCTCCTCCCTCCATCCCTTCCTTCCTCTCTTTTCTTTCCCCCTCTCCTTTCCTTCTCCTCCTCTCTTCCCTTCCTTCTCTCTTCTTCCTTCCTTTTTTCTCCTTCCTTTTCTTCTTCTTCTTCCTCCCTCCCTTCTTTCTCTCTCTCTCTTGTACCTTCTCTGCTTCTCTCTCATTCATTCTTTCTTTCTGTTCTTCCAGTCTTTCCTTCTCTCTCTTCTTCCTTCCTTTCCTCTCTTTCCTTTCTTTCCCTCCTCTTTTCTTCTCTCTCTCCTTTCTTCCTTTCCTCCTCTCTCACTTCCCTTCCTTCTCTCTCCTTCCTTCCTTTTTTCTCCTTCCTTTTCTTCTTCTTCCTCCTTCCTCCTTTCTTTCTCTTGTACCTTCTCTGCATCTCTTTCATTCTTTCTTTCTTTTCTTCCTCTCTTTCCTTCCCTCTCTTCTTCCTTCCTTCCTTTCCTCTCTTTCCTTCCCTCTCTCCTTGCTTCCTTTCTTCCTCTCTCACTTCCCTTCCTTCTTTCCTTCCTTCCTACTTTCTCTTTTCTTCCTCTCTTTCCTCCTTCTTCTCTTTTTCCTTCTTTTTCTTCCTGCTTTCTCTCTCTTCCCTCCCTCCCTCCCTTTCTTCCCTTCTCTTCCTCCCCTTCTCTGTCTTCTTCCTTCCCCTCTCTCTTTTCTTCCTTCCTCCCTTCTCTCCCCCCATTCTTTCCCTCCTCCTTTCTCACTTCCTTCTTTGTTTCTCTCCCCCTTTCCCTTCCTCTCTTGCTTTCCCTTTTTCTTGCTTGCTCTCTCTTCTCTCTTCCATCCTTCTTCTGTCTCTCCTGTGCAAGAAGAAGAGAAGAGAGCCATGGCTGCCTTCATGCTCTTCTTTCCTCCCTTTTAAGACTTTTCCCCCCAAAAGGAATGGTTTGGATGCGCCATCTGGGCCAGGACTTCTGTGAATTATTATTATGAGGGTTCTTATGGTTATATTATTTAATATAATTATATTTGTATAGTTTTTAATAATGTTTCAATGGCCATAACGATTTCTTATTAATTCTTCTGTGTTCTGTGCTTATAAGACATGGGTTGCAAACAGTTTACCAAGCGAGTGTGCTGCTCTCAGCCTCGCTTGAGAGAAAAATAACAGGATAATAATAATAATAATAATAATAATAATAATGTGTTGCTGAAGGCTTTCACAGCCTGAATCACTGGGATGTTGTGTTGTTGAGTGGTTTCTGGACTGTGTGGCTACTGTGTTCGAGCAGCGTTTTCTCCTGCAAATCAAGTTAAACATGAGCCAGGAATGTGATGTGGCGGCAAAAAAAGCCAATGGGATTTTGGCCTCTATAGTGTCTAGAATCCAGGGAAGTCCTGCTCCCCATGCTCTGTTCCGCCTTGGTTAGACCACAACTGGAATATTGTGTCCAATTCTGGGCACCACAATTCAAGAGAGATATTGACTCTAAGCTGGAATGTGTCCAGAGGAGGGTGACTCAAAGGATCAAGGGTCTGGAGAACAAGCCCTATGAGGAGCGGCTTAAGGAGCTGGGCATGTTTAGCCTGAAGAAGAAGGCTGAGAGGAGACATGATGAGGGCCATGTATAAATATGTGAGAGGAAGCCACAGGGAGGAGGGAGCAAGCTTGTTTTCTGCTTCCCTGGAGACTAGGGAACAATGGCTTCAAACTACAAGAGAGGAGATTCCACCTGAACATGAGGAAGAACTTCCTGACTGTAAGGAGAGCCGTTCAGCAGTGGAACTCTCTGCCCTGGAGTGTGGTGGAGGCTCCTTCTTTGGAAGCTTTGAAACAGAGGCTGGATGGCCATCTGTCAGGGGTGATTTGAATGCAATATTCCTGCTTCTTGGCAGAATGGGGTTGGACTGGATGATGGCCCAGGAGGTCTCTTCCAACTCTTTCATTCTGGGATTCTATGAAAGGAGATTCCATCTGAACATGAGGAAGAGCTTCCTGACTGTGAGAGCCGTTCAGCAGTGGAACTCTCTGCTCCGGAGTGTGGTGGAGGCTCCTTTGGAAGCTTTTAAACAGAGGCTGGATGGCCATCTGTCAGGGGTGATTTGAATGCAATATTCCTGCTTCTTGGCAGGGGGTTGGACTGGATGGCCCATGAGGTCTCTTCCAACTTGATAAAGTTACAACACAAACAGTCAATTTGGGAAACCATAGAGATGTTCTTTCTTTCCCTTTTCCTTCAATTACTTAGGTAACTTTTCTCCAAAAGGTAGAAAAAATCCTGGGATCTTTCACCCTAACCCTGAGCTGCTATGGTTAGAAAGAAGAGGTCCTCCCCTATCTAAGCACAAGGTTAGCTTTGGAGATAATAATAATAAATAATGAAACTTTATTTGTACCCCGCTACCATCTCCCCAAGGGACTCGGTGCGGCTTACATGAGGCCGAGCCCATTCCCTTTTCCTTCAATTACTGAGGTAACTTTTCTCCAAAAGGTAGAAAAAATCCTGGGATCTTTCACCCTAACTATGATTCTATGACATGCAGGTGAAATGTCAGGAGAAAAGGCTGCTAGAATACATTGGCTATGCTGGCCAGAAACCACACAACATCCCAATGATGATGATGATGATATAATAATAATAATAACTTTATTTGTACCCCGCTACCATCTCCCCAAGGGACTCGGTGCGGCTTACGTGAGGCCGAGCCCACAATACATCAATACAAGCAAACTTTTCTCCAAAGGGTAAAAAAAACCCCTGGGATCTTTCACCCTAACTATGATTCTATGAAATGCAGGTGAAATGTCAGGAGAAAAGGCTGCTAGAATACATCGGCTATACTGGCCAGAAACCACACAACATCCCAATGATGATGATGATGATGATAATAGTAATAACTTTATTTGTACCCTGCTACCATCTCCTCAAGGGACTCGGTGCAGCTTACATGAGGCCGAGCCTATTCCCTTTTCCTTCAATTACTGAGGTAACTTTTCTCCAAAAGGTAGAAAAAATCCTGGGATCTTTCACCCTAACTATGATTCTATGAATGCAGGTGAAATGTCAGAAGAAAAGGCTGCTAGAATACATTGGCTATACTGGCCAGAAACCACACAACATCCCGATGATGATGATAATAATAATAATAACTTTTTTTGTACCCCATTACCATCTCCCCAAGGGACTCGGTGCGGCTTACGTGAGGCCTAGCCCATTCCCTTTTCCTTCAATTACTGAGGTAACTTTTCTCCAAAAGGTAGAAAAAACCCTGGGATCTTTCACCGTAACTATAACTAATAATAACCTGGTCTTTTCTGCCCCTCAGGACCCTGCAGAGCGGATGAAGATGAACCCGCAGCAGCAGCGCATGGCCGCCATTGGGACGGACAAGGAGCTGAGCGACCTTCTGGACTTCAGCGCGGTAGGATATCCTCCTTCGAAGTCTCCTTATGGCTTCTTCCCCACGGTAAAAAGCCGATTTGGGAGGGGGGCTATGGGGGAAACACACCACTATGGGCCAGAAAGCCCTGACGGGTCAGTTGGAAGCTCCTGAGCCCCCTATATATATATATATATATATATATATATATATATATATATATATATATATTTATTTTGCTGTATTATTATTATTATTTATATATATATATTAGATCCAGACTCAGGATGGATCTACACTGCCATATAATCTAGTATATCAGGTGTTTTCAACCTTCCTCATGCTGCGACCCCTTAATACAATTCCGCATGTTGCCGTGACCCCCAACCATAAAATTATTTTCCTTCCTACTTCATAACTGTAATTTTGGTCCTGTTGTGAATTGTAGTGTAAATATCTGATATGCAGGATGCATTTTCATTCACTGGACCAAATTCGGCGCAAATACCCATTACTCCCAAATTGGAATACTAGTGGGGTTTGGGGAGGGGTTGATTTTGTCATTTGGGAGTTGTACTTCCTGGGATTTATAGTTCACCTACAATCAAAGAGCATTCTGAACCCCACCAAGGATGGAACTGAATCATACTTGGCACACAGAAGTCCCATGACCAACAGAAATTACTGAAAGGGTTTGGTGGGCATTGACCTTAAGTTTGGGAGTTGTAGTTCACCTACATCCAGAGAGCACTGTGGACTCAAACAACGATGGATCTGGACCAAACTTGACATGAATACTCAATATGCCCAAATGTGAATATTGGTGGAGTTTGGGGAAAATAGTCTTTGACATTTGGAAGTTGTCGCTGCTGGGATTTATAGTTCACCTATAATCAAAGAGCATTCTGAACCCCACCAAGGATGGAACTGAATCATACTTGGCACACAGAAGTCCCATGACCAACAGAAATTACTGAAAGGGTTTGGTGGGCATTGACCTTAAGTTTGGGAGTTGTAGTTCACCTACATCCAGAGAGCACTGTGGACTCAAACAACGATGGATCTGGACCAAACTTGACATGAATACTCAATATGCCCAAATGTGAATATTGGTGGAGTTTGGGGAAAATAGTCTTTGACATTTGGAAGTTGTCGCTGCTGGGATTTATAGTTCACCTATAATCAAAGAGCATTCTGAACCCCACCAATGATGGAACTGAATCATACTTGGCACACAGAAGTCCCATGACCAACAGAAATTACTGAAAGGGTTTGGTGGGCATTGACCTTAAGTTTGGGAGTTGTAGTTCACCTACATCCAGAGAGCACTGTGGACTCAAACAATGATGGATCTGGACCAAACTTGCCATGAATACTCAACATGCCCAATGTGAATGAACACTGGTGGAGTTTGGGGAAAATAGACCTTGGCATTTGAGAGTTTTAGTTGCTGGGATTTATAGTTCACCTACAATAAAAGATCATTCTGATCCCCACCAATGATAGAATTGGGCCAAACTTCCCACATGGAACCCCTATGACCAACAGAAAATACTATGTTTTTGGATGGTCTTTGGTGACCCCTCTGAAACCCCCCCCCCCGGGCTCCCGACCCCCAGGTTGAGAACCACTGGTCTAGAGGCATTCTCTCCTGACATTTCTATGGCAAGCATCCTCTATGGCAGTGAGGTCTGTAGGGAAGGGTTTGGTGGGCATTCTCCATATACAACCCAGGCCGGCTTTCCGAGGCAGAACAATTGCTTGGGGGAGATATATATATATACATATACATACATACATCAGTGTTTCTCAACCTGGGGGTCAGGACCCCTGTGGGGGTTGCCGAAGACCATCAGAAAATACAGTATTTCCTGTTGATCATGGGAGTTCTGTGTGGGAAGTTTGGCTCAATTCCATCATTGGTGGGGTTCAGAATGCTCTTTGATTGTAGGTGAACTATAAATCCCAGCAGCTACAACTTCCAAATGTCAAAGACTATTTTCCCCAAACTCCACCAATATTCACATTTGGGCATATTGAGTATTCATGCCATGTTTGGTCCAGATCCGTCATTGTTTGAGTCCACAGTGCTCTCTGGATGTAGGTGAACTACAACTCCCAAACTCAAGGTCAATGCCCATTAAACCCTTTCAGTAATTTCTGTTGGTCATGGGACTTCTGTGTGCCAAGTATGGTTCAGTTCCATCATTGGTGGGGTTCAGAATGCTCTTTGATTATAGGTGAACTATAAATCCCAGCAGCGACAACTTCCAAATGTCAAAGACTATTTTCCCCAAACTCCACCAATATTCACATTTGGGCATATTGAGTATTCATGTCAAGTTTGGTCCAGATTCATCGTGAACTACAACTCCCAAACTCAAGGTCAATGCCTACCAAACCCTTCCAGTATTTTCTGTTGGTCAAGGTAGTTCTGTGTGGCAAGATTGATTCAATTCCATCATTGGTGGGGTTCAGAATGCTCTTTGTTTACATGTTAACTATAAATCCCAGCAACTACAACTCCCAAATGACAGTCAATCCCTCTGCCAACCCCACCAGTATTGAAATTTGGGCATACCGGGTATTTGTGCCAAATTTGCTCCAGTGAATGAAAATACATCTTGCAGATCATTATTTACATGGCGATTCATAATGTTAGGGTTATGGTTGGGGGTCACCACAACATGAGGAACTGTATTAAGGGGTCGCGGCATCAGGAAGGTTGAGAACCACTGATCTAGAACATGGTCATATAGCCCGAAAAAAACCTACAACAACCCAAAGTCTCTCCTTGCTGAGGAATTGTGAAAGTTGTGAAAACGGTCTCCGAGCCATGATGTTTTGCACCATTCCAAATCCAAAACCACCATCCTCTGTAATTGGCTTTCTTAGAGGATCCATTCTATGTTGTGTATCACAAGTAGACATTGTTGCGCCAGTCACCTTACACGCCTGTTTCTGGGGCTTTAGCAAACTTACTGTAAGCACGCAAAGGTGCGAGAACGAGGTTCAGATCCATTCCCAGTCTTGGTGATCGTATGTGTGTTTATGCGACGCATCATGTGTGTTTATGCGGCGCGTTGCGCTGCTTCTTGTTGTGTCCCCTGGAGCGGCCCGTGCTAACCTCAAGACCTCTGTCCGTTTGCAGATGTTTTCTCCACCTGTTAATAGTGGGAAAACGAGGCCAACGACTCTAGGAAGCAGCCAGTTCAGTGGAGCAGGTAAGAAGCCCTTGGGAAACAGAGTTGTGGTTGCGTTGCACTCTTTGTGCGTCTCTTGGAGAGAGTGGGTGCAGCGTGGAACCAGATAGGCAAAGGCTGTGTTGGGGTTCAGCCTGAGTTTGAACTTGAACCTGATTCTCTGTTTGTTCCTCCTGATGTTAATGAAAATATATTTACTGATGCTAATGAAAATGTACTTCCTGATGTCAATGCTCCTGAAATTAGTGAGGAAGCAACTTCTGTAGATTTGGAAAATGAAAGTCCCAGTGTTCATGAGAATGTTTCAGAGGGAAGCCATGACCTTTCACTCCCTTCTGCACCTGGGAACCTTAATGAGAATAGAAGGGGCCAGATCTGGCAAGACAGGAGTAAATCACTCAGCTTGCAAAGGTCTTCCCGATTAAAAGAAATACAAACAAGGGCTTCAAAGCAGAGGGGCGGTTCACGGAACCAATTCCTCGGCTTTAAGTGCCTTCCGCCGGGCTGACTTTCTCAGTTCAGGCATCGTTTTAGATTGATGAAGACCTTGGCAGTTCTCCCGGTTTCCCTGGCCATCGTCTTGAAAGATTTCTAGGACACCAAGTACGGTTAGTGGATTGCTAACAGGTTCCAGTATTTTACAGTGTGGCTTTGGGTTTTGATCTTGTTCATGGACATTCATGTTTGCTGATTTTGCTGTGGCTTTTGACTTTGCATTTTTCCTTTATTTTGTAACCATTTTTCTTCAATAAAAAAGGATTGTTTTTTCACAGTCAAGTGTGGTGGATAGTTATCTTAGGGCCTCGTTTCCTGCTCTGGGTTGCAACAGGCTGCTTTTTCGGAGAGAGCCTTCTGCAGGCATGCGCTCAGTCTTTAAAGGCTCAATAATGGCAAAATTTGTCCTTTTTTTTTGAAATTTGAAATGTTCTTTTTTGGAAAAAAAATGTTGAATCTGAATTATTTGAATTCCTTTGAAACATTGTGTGTGTGGTTTGGTTTTGGTTGATCCTATACTGTATATATTCGAGTATAAGCCTAGTTTTTCAGTCCTTTTTTTTGGCTGAAAAAGTCTCCCTCGGCTTATACTCAAGTCAAGGTTTTTAAAATTATTTCACTCTATTATTATTATTATTATTATTATTACATTTATTATTTTATTCTTTATTATTGTTATTACTACATTTAATATTTTACTCTATTATTATTACATTAATAATTAAACTCTATTATTATTACATTCATTATTTTACTCTATTATTATTATTACATTAATCATTTCACTCTATTATTATTACATCCATTATTTTGTTCTTTATTATTGTTATTACTACATTTATTATTTTACTCTATTATTACATTATTACTCTATTATTACATTCATTATTTTATTCTTTATTATTTTACTCTATTATTGCATTCATTATTTTATTCTAATAAAGAATAAAATAATGAATGTAATAATAATAGATAATACTATAATAATACTCTACTATCATTACATTCATTATTTTATTCTTTATTATTGGTATTACTACATTTATTATTTTACTCTGTTATTAGTATTATTATTACATTAATCGTTTTACTCTATTATTATTACATTTGTTATTTTATTCTTTATTATTGTTATTACTACATTTATTATTTTACTCTATTATTACATTAATCATTTTACTCTGTTATTAATACATTTATTATTTTACTCTATTATTATTATTACATTAACCATTTTACTCTATTATTATTACATTCATTATTTTATTCTATTATTTTATTCTTTATCATTGTTGTTACTACATTTATTCTTTTACTCTATTATTATTATTATTACATTAATCATTCTACTCTATTATCATTACATGTATTATTTTATTCTTTATTATTGTTATTACTAC